AGCATCCCAGCAATGTTCAATTTCAGGTTGGTGATCTTTTGATGGCTACTGTGATCATGATCCCCCAGGCAGTCAGCATGCTTCGAGATACGCACTCATGGGTGAATGACGGTCCGTTTGGTCAGATATCCTGCAAATTGTTCATGTTCTCGCAAGCATTATCAATAGCCTCTTCGATATTCTCTCTCACGGTGCTGGCATTTGAGCGTTTCTTTGTGGTTGTGTTCCCATTGTGGAATATTATCACAATTAAAGGCACATTACGTTCGATCATTGTCATCTGGGTGGCCACCTTTGCATTATCATCACCATTACTCTATGCTGCAAAAGTGCGCCTCAACGATGCCGTTGCATTCTGCATGGAAGATTGGGCTCCGGCTTTTAATCCTAAAAGAGCACAGGCAATCTACACGATCGTGTCTTTTGTCTTTCTGTACGCCTTACCGTTGTTAATCATTGCTGTGTTATATTCAGTAATCGCTGCCAAAGTCTGGAGTAGGCGCACACCAGGAAACACGGCCCTGGCAAACCGTCGAGTGTTACAAGAGTATAGGAAAAACGTGCTGAAGATGTCTGTAGCTGTGGTCCTGGCCTTTGCATTTTGCTGGTTCCTGATGCACCTGAATATGTTGTTGATAGATTTTAGCGATTTATTCGAGGCTTGTGGCATCCCTAAATGGCTTCAAACCACGGGTTTTTTGCTTGGCCACTCAAACAGTGCCATCAATTGCTGCATATACCCGATATTTAGTCAAGGATATCGTAAGGGCTTTAAACAGAGTCTGAAGTCTCTATTTTGGAGACATGCCAGACCCACCCCAGAAAACCAGGACCAAGAGAGAGCCCCAGATATCCCACTGGAAGGTCAGGTGGTAAACTGAGTTATGTCCGCCCTCAAAGGAGCTAAATGGAGTAGCTTAAAATGTAACCGAAAGCTTCTAACTTTCTCTCTATTTAGACTTTCCTTTCCTGTGTCCTCGCTTCAATATTCAGTGTATATAAGCTAATGTTCAGTGAATCAGCAGGAAAAATATCCTTCAATCTTTTCTCCTTCGAGTTAAAAGTTTAGTTTCTGTATCAAACATCCCCGGCCCTTTTATATTTCTTTTCTTTTCTTTGTTTGAGTTACTAACGTAAGTAACCCGTACTGCAATTAACGTAAGTAGCTGTAAGTAACTGTAAGTAGCTGTATGTTCTTGCAAGTATTGTTAGTATTGAATTGTTAGTAGACTAAATATGCGCGAAGCGCACGGCCCATAAATCGAAGGGCCGAAAACGAGGATCCGAAATTTACAGAACGGACCGAGAAGACGAGGTTAGTAAGATATCTATTATATTATATCTCTACTGTGTGTTTGACGGGTTCGGGAACGATTTCTATTCACGCAGAACGGCTTCAAATTTCTGACGCACCTCGAAAGCAAAACGAGTCAAGTTAATGTAAATATTGTACTGCATGTAAGAAGGATAAATGAAGTTGTCAGTGGCATAAATAGCCCCCACGTATTGAAAGTAATGTAAGTAATTAAGATTTGCCCCACGGCTAAAGCAACACTGTACATATACTCGCGGGAATCGTTGCTCGCTGCTCGCTTTAAGGACCTTCACATCATATTTCTAACTAAGTGGCGACCATTTTTAATTTCAACTTCGATTAATTGGTTATTTGGTGCGAAAACCTCTCTCAGTATCTACTTGCTGTTGTTGTTTTCAAGTTTTTGAATACTTCCAGATCTTTTTGCCATAAAAAGTGTTGACGTTACGTCCATTATAATTCATATGAGCAAAAAATTATTTCCGAAAGCAAAGGTACAGTGGGAAACAAATTAGTAAATTTGATTTGGTAACATCCACAGATCTCAGACAATATTTATTTACCTTTTCATGAGCTTTTGTTGTGATCAGCTTTACAACATTATTAAATTCGCTGTAACTCGAAACTGCTAAAAAATACAAAAGACTGCAATAAGTAACTGCACTCAGTTTTACCGTTATACAAAACCTATATTCGTTTAAAACACCTACATTAATTAACATTCCGACAACTTTAACAAGGCTAACATGATGGCATCTCTACGAGTTTTAAAATAGCATCTCTAATCCTCCGTAGGAAAGAAGATGGCGATTGGTACATTTACCCATCGTTCTTAACGCACGAAAACCTTAACAACTTTCATAAAAACGTACAGAAGAGTTACAAAGCCTTCAAACCTAGCATAAACAATGTCCTTCGTACAGGGACAAAAATTGAAAAAATCTAGCTTTCTTTGTGCCTTACAGGCTGTGTTAGGTTCGCAAGGTATTGTGGTAAAATGTACAGCCGCCATCTTTTTTCCTACGGTGGATTAATGCAGCAAGGATAATAAAAAGAGTTTTATGAAGCTTCAAACGGTTTTAGTAATTACGGTAAACAAGCTGTTTTCAGCCTGATCAAAGTGTTATATAGCAAAGAAGTATTGACAAACTCGTGGCCGATAAAAAAACACATTTTCCGATTTTCCGAACATTTTACGTGACTATACTAGCTATTTCGTATGATTCAGTTATCGCAGGCCTCTCTATTATTCTAATAGCTAATTATTTAGCATGCAGTTCCATATTCTGGGAATTCTTAACTCTGGCGAACTCGGGTAGAATTTCAGCTTAGTGTTTGTGTCGCATTAATTCTCGAAGTTGCCTTGGTTCAAAGCTTCAAAAAAGGTTGAACAACTCTCTTCGAAAAGGCCGATTGACCCAGCCATAAATAAACACTTTGCTTGCCAACGCCACTGCCGTAGAAAACCGTAAAATACGTGAGCCAATGAGGGTCAGGTGGAGTGATAACAACTGGTCGATTACGAAAATGATTGACGGGGGAAGCCAACTAACTACAAACACGATTGAAATGACGAGGAACGTTTTAGTAAGACGGTACTTTTTCGTGCTGTTTAAAAACTCCACGTTTGCTTCGATGACGCCAGAATTACCCCTGACGCGAGAAATGCTACGGACACGAGGACTGCTCCTGCGGATGGCACCGTAAATGACGCGATAACAATAAAAAGTTAAAAACGTGGGAATAATCTTGAGCAACAAGATGCATGTATTCCAAACGGATTGTTGGAGGTCTTGATTGTAGGTAATCCAGCAACCTAGATACTCGTAACTGAAAGTATAGTCAGCCCAACCCGCCATTACGGGTAACCCAGCAAATAGGGACGACCCGATCCAGATACAAATTGAAATGGTCAAAGTATATCCAGGGGTAAATGTTTCGTTGCATTCGAGTGGTTTAAGAAACCTGTAATAACGTTGGATGGCGATGAAACACAGAGTACAGATGGATGCGTATTTAGCAAAATCGTTGAAAAATGCGTCGACAGAACAGGTCGCTTTGCCAAACATCCAACCCGGCCCGCCTATAAACACGCAAATGGTTAAAGGCAGCGGAATAACCGCTGTCAGAATATCTAACAAAGCTAAACTTATTACAAAGTCATTTGTTGGATGCAAAATCCAACGGTGCTTATACACTATGACACAAACTATAATATTACCTAGCACGGCTACTGTTGTAAATAATCCCAAAACAAACGCTTGTACAATGTCTGCCTCCTCAGCAGTCATCTTGTGAAAGGCTGCGGAATGGCTTCTCTGTTCAGTTAGTTCCTGCCTGTTAACCGCGACACTGAGTGGCAAAACGTTTAAAAACAGAACACCATAAACAAAAGTTTTCCTCGGTTTTGTACGTCACTAGTGCAAAAAGCTTCAGTCTATAAACCCCGTCCTTGCTTTATCATTTTCGGTTAGTGATATATTCAGTTCCATTTCATCAAGACAGCTGTTTCCTTTTTTGCGTCCTCCACTATATCTGTCAGATAATCTACACGAGGCACTGAAAAACTTGCATCGGGATGACTCGACAAAACTGCAAATTCGCTGCACAAAACCTACCACTTGCCTTTTGTTGGTCTGAAAATAGACGGGTATCAAAAGACATAATATAAGTTGCAGAAAAATGGCCTTGTTTCTGATGAAAATATTGGACGAGGACGACACGGTGGGAGTAATCGAAAACAAAACTGAAGCTTCTGCTCTTTCAAAAAATGCAAATGCTCCTTTTTTATTACCGTAAATGAACGATTAAGGGCTTTTGTGTCGTTAATTTTGCAGTGTCTTTTCGCTTTTCGAGAACTGTTGTCTTGCTTGAGTTCATTTCTACACGAGCATTTGATTTTAAGAATATAATTTCAAATTTCACTTCAATTATCATATTCGGGCCACTTTGCAGTTTCATGTGACATTTCAAAAACATTTTGATCGTATTGTAAAACAAGAATAATCCCTGGCAACAAAATAAGAATATACCTTTTTACCGCAGGATCTGTACGCCGTTTCTGAAGTACCAGCTTATTGGAACAACTTTCGCGAGGAAGTTAATTCTTCTTCCTAGCCTCTTGGTAAATAGAAGTTGAGCAGCCTATCGGCCACCTTTCTTTAAACGGCTTGACGTTTAAAGGATCCAATTCGTAGTTATATAACTTTACTTTGTTTTGTGAAACTTCCCTATTTACCCCACGTGATAGAAACAGGTGTGGGTAATCGCTTTACCGTGATGTTTGACGTACGGTAGTTAATATACTAATTTCACCAGCCAATGAACGTCATTTATAGGACTCAAAGAAACAGTTGTCACAACCCTTGTTGGTGAATATTCCCCATTAAGTTGACGGGTTCTTCGCCAAAATAATGTAAGTGTGGATAAATCGGTCAGGACGCGCGTACACATAAAGTTAGAGACAAAAGGCGCAAGCCATGAAATTAAACCGCACGTGTTCACTCTAAAAACGCATTTCAGAGCTCCTTCTTACATTGTACCTCTAATTTAAAGGATTCGTCCTCTGGTTAACTAAGAAGCCAAAACGTTCTTCTGAATTATATTGCTCTAAAATTTAATAAGAAAATTAATGCTTCTATTTTAAGCATTGCCGGTTTTAATTTGCTAAGCGTGCATTTCTGTTCCCCACCGGCGACCAGCTGGCGTACAAAGGAAATTCAAATTGCTTAATTATTTGCCTTAGCAGCATTCTAAATTTTAGGTTTACTAGCAGACTTCATCATCTCTTTGACGCAGTCTCTCCTACTTCTCTGTCTGTTACTTTTGGTAATGTCCAGGTATACGAAGACTGAGTCTTTTCAACTATTTTCGCCACATTATATATATTGGGCATTCAGAACAGGAAAAAAAGGCATCTTCAGCGAAACAGGGTGAATTTTTATTCCGCATTACTGTAATACTGCGCTTAAGAGTTGAAGACGTTATTCGGCTACTACTTGTCATTGTTGAAATAATACTTCTCGAAGTAAACGTATAACTTGCGCAAATTACGCAAAAATTCCGTGAGCTGGAATAGAAGAAACTATTTTAGCTTATTCTGTTTCTTTTTTTAGTTCTCGGTACCAGAGAGGCCATACAGATTGAATCTTGCTCTCTCGTGAATGTTTTGGGTCTTTGTTCTTTCTTTAATTAGAACAACAGACATTCGGACTTTTCCTTTTAGAAATTATGTAGGCAACTTTCGTCGCCCGATATAAAACACATGTCCATCTTACCTCTTAGTCCCAGGTTTACCAATATTAAGCGGCGGGAGACTGGGTAACACATGAGAGCAAAAGTCCTGTGCGTCTAGTATCTTTTACCAGAAGCAAGACACTATGATCGGCCAAAAGATTGTTTCGGGGTGGTATGCGATCAGCTCATAACAAGGTCAAGATTTTCCGTCCACACTACGCTGGAGAAATTTGAAAACGCAACAATCACCGGTCATTTTGGAATTGTGTTTGAAGACTACCGCACAGAAACCACATGATAATCGTGACGTCATCATATCGTTTTCAGAAAGCTTCGTTTTCAAAACGTTTTCCGTCCACACCAAAACGCGAAACCGGCGTTTTTAAATTCCTCCGGTTTGAGTAGCCTTTTTGAAAAGCTCCGTTTTTGTCAGTAGGGATTAGTGACTGGACGGTAGGCCTAACCGTAGAAATAAAGCTGTGTTTTCAAACTTCACCAGCGTAGTGTAGACGGGGCTTTAACTGTTTACAACGATTTTTGACCTTTTTCGTTATATTATGTGCGATTTTTGTACACGGACTACAATATCAACCAAAATAGGGTATTAAAGGGAAACTAGAAGCAGAAATAAAATGGTAGAAAATTAGACAAGTGAAGATTTACTACTTACAAAAATGGTGGTCTATATATAATCAAAAAACAGCTGCAAGACCAAAGAAAGTGAATTTACATGTTAATGACAAGAATCGCACGCAAATGATTCTTACGTACGAAACTTTTAGGTTGTTATTTACGGCCCCCTTATTTTTCATGTTTAAACAATTTTTCCTTGTGCATATGGGCTGTTACTTGTTCCATGTAATGAAAAACTAGTTCATGGACACAAAAAGCTTAAAGTTTCTTTCTCATAAAAATTGCGGAGAACCTTCCTTGAAATGACTTGAAAACGTAAGAAGTTTTGGCGCAAAAGTTTATTGTTTCGTCTTTCAAGAAGAAAATTAATCAATTTAAATGTCAAAAAGTTAAACCCATTCATTATCGAAGACACAGCTAAAAAGGAAGTCATTAGAAAAATCCAATTTTTGACCCCGCCTCTTTTACTATCGCGACAAGTAAACGCCAAAACATTTGTGACAAGAATGAAAGCTAAAACAGTTAGCTAGTAACCACTATTTAATTTTCCACTCTTCTTTGGTCCTTTTTCGTTGCATTGAATTTGATTAAGTATAATTGTTAGGCATATAAAGGATATCAAGTATTCCGGCAAGACCCAAACACTCTATACGGTACACAATTGTTGTCGCCGAGTAGGCTGCTTCCTTTGAATTCCAAGCGGAACAAAACCTTGATTATTTGCCTCGTGTGGTTTTTATTTCCTAATCAAGGTTTGTTCCCAGCGGGAATACTGGTTGAGCGATATCACGAGTGTACGACACAAGCGCCCTCCTTTTTTATCACATCACGTCCTACGTTTTTCTTCTGCAAAGCATTGGCCCTTTTAATGCTTTAGCTTATTTTGGTTATAAAATTGTAAAAACATTTTTAGACAAAACATATATATCTTTGAGCTTGCAATCGACTGTGAGACATCCGCTTCCGTGTATGAAACTGTTGTTAATCGAATGAAGTGCAGGATATTTGCTAATTTTATTACGAAAGGTCTTTTATCTCACACAGTAAGACCCCTGTGAAACGAACAGGGGGAACTGAGAGGAGGGGGCTTTCACTCGATTGCTTTCCCTGGGGGCCCTTAATCGTAACGCAAGTCTGTTAGTAGTCATGGGAATAGGCCAGTTAATGAGATTAACGATTAATTTTCTTACATTCATTCTGTTGTTGAAGAGAAATGCGAACCGAATGCGAACTGGCATTTTGTGCTAAAAATTGTCCAACTAGCTACCATTTCCGATTCATGCTGAAAAGTCACTTTTCCGTTCGAAGTGAAGAAATAGTTGACGTCTAAACGGAACGGACTGAATGGGGGGCAATATGCGCGATGACGCAACTTGCAATGTCCTTGGGTTTAATGTCCGCGAAAATGGATTGTAAAAAGTCTGTTTGGCGTAGAAACATACAACAAGTCCTGCGGGAAATAAAAAAAAAAACAATTGCGTCAGGAGGCAAAGATATCAAGCCTTTGACGGAAGAAGCTGTCAATTGCGACTTTTCTTCAAGTGCTGCAGAAAAAACAAATAGTTCGGCTGTTAAAACATTAATCGGCCTTTTAAGTATTCAGACAAAAGCTGGCGCCGCCAAATCAACATCACTAACGGAGAATGAAGCCTGTACTACACCGCTTTCAATGTATGGAAAACTTCTTTTGTTTTCGATTATGAAGAGCAAACAGTAGGGTAGAGAAAACTGACTGAGGCCATTGGAGAACGTTTCCTAAATAGCGACAACAATATTCTTAGTTGAAGGTAAGAGATTGCCAACTACACAGGTGCTCTGAACTGTGTGATCTTCAAAGAAAAATCTAGGGAAAATGTTCAGCAACAACACAACTTTTGGCGAAGAAAACCAAACTGATTCTACATTTTTGGCGACAAATCAGTTTTGTTCGCTATTGAAACAAGTGCAAACTGGAGACGACATCACGTTTGCGGAATTTAGAGCGGTGTGCGCTTTCATCTCGTCTGCGAACGCTTTCTTTGCTGTTCTAGCTATACTTAGTAACTGTGTGATCATTGCAGCTTTTTATCGATTTGTCTCATTGAGAACACCATCCAACCTGCTCTTGCTTGGTTTGTCGTTTTGTGACTTGTTCGTCGGCTTAGTTACTCAACCTTTGTTTGTGGCTGAAACAGCTTTAGTCGCCGCTAATTCAGGCGTAGCTTGCACACTCAAAGATTTGTATGTAATATTCTTGTTCTCGTTTTCGTCCGCTTCTGTACTTCACGTTTGTGTATCTAGTATCGAGCGTTCCGTTGCTATATTTTACCCTTTTAAACATCAGTTCTTTGTAACGAAGAGGAATGCTGTGGTAGCTCTGACGGGTTTTTGGATTTCATGGGCGTTGTTAACCATTTTCACTCGACGCGAGCATGGAGGAGGCCTCATAGGCTACTCGCGCATGGCGTTTGTTATCTTCAGCGCTTTGGTGGTGTTTGTGATGAACGTCCGGCTATTTGTAGAAGCTCGGGCCCATTCAAGACAGATTCAAGACTCTACAGTACAATCGTGGTCACCATCGCAAGAAGAAATCAACGAGAGATCAAGACCTGCCAGAGAAAAAGCCGCCCGGGACAACAAAGCCGCCAAGACAACTTTCCTCATCATTGGTATCATGATTTTGTGCAATTTGCCGCTCATAACAACATTCACTGCGCGCAAGTTTTACAATGTGCGTGGACGAGTGGCCACTTTGCTTTGGTTTACTGCAAACTCGATTGTTCTCTTGCCTGCCGTACTGAATCCCGTAACTTACTTTTGGCGCAAAAGAGAGTTCAGAACTTGCGTGAAGAGAATGTTTGGTTGGCAAAATGCTGTTGGAATTCAGGAGTAACTAACAACGGTGTAACTCAAAACCGAAGAAAATAAACTTGGCCATGTTTAGGCACCGGTAAGCGCTGAACTCAAACCGAACAAGGCGTTTCCTAACTTTAGATTATATTCCTCTTCTCGCGCAGTGATAAGCCGAAATCCTCAGGTTAGAAATGTAAATGTAAATCTTATTGATAGTGGTCATGCACTTAGCTATACATGCACTAAGCTTACGGCTAGTTTACAGGCATGCCACTGAAACAAAGGAAACAAATATTTCAAATAAAGGTAACATAGTTATAAAGGAGGCAGACCAGTTTGCTATTTACAAAGGTTGACCGAGGATTTGAACTCGGGACTACGTACCGAGAAACAAATCCAGCTAGTGGCAGGGTGGAGACCTTGAACCTCCGGACTACACAGATTTGTACAGCCACCATATAACAGCCTTGTCATGCACAGCTCCTTTCTGTATAAGATTGCCCACATGTGGAACCAGTTACCAGCTATCACCAAATCCTCGACCAATTTGACACAATTTTAGTTCTCGTTTGAATGGTGTGGAGTTTACAGGGTGCCAGTGTATGAACTGTATTTTCTAACTCAAATTTTTAATATTAGGACTAGTTGCTGTTAGGAATATTTGATATTTTAATTCTGATTTCATCTCAGCGAATATAGTAATTGTAAGTAGTAATGCTATTGTAAATAGTCGTGTTGTTAGGAATATTTGATATTTTAATTCTGATTTTATCTTAGCGAATATAGTAATTGTAAGTAGTAATGCTATTGTAAATAGTCGTGCTGTTGGGAATATTTTATATTTTAATTCTGATTTTATCTTAGCGAATATAGTAATTGTAAGTAGTAATGCTATTGTAAATAGTCGCGCTGTTAGGAATATTTTATATTTTAATTCTGATTTTATCTTAGCGAATATAGTAATTGTAAGTAGTAATGCTATTGTAAATAGTCGCGCTGTTAGGAATATTTTATATTTTAATTCTGAATTTATCTTAGCGAATATGGTAACTGTAAGTAGTAATGTTATTGTAAATAGTCGTGCGTTTTTGTCATGAGCCCCTGGCTCGGGAGATTGGATAACCACTCCCCACGTTTACGACTTAAAATAAAGTTACCTTACCTTACCTTACAACACCAGCGCCCTAAACCACTTGGCCACGCTGCCTCACTAAAATGGTAATAGTTAGACCGCAGCTAATCATAGCGTGACTCGCTGAAGATATATGACAAAAAATATCTTAGATGAAGGTAACAGATATGATTAAAAACTGGATCATTGTATAATGCCAATTCAAGAGTTTTCGTTAGCTCAGTCATCATGGTATATGAGCCATTGTACTACGCTCTTCAAATATGTTAAGCGTATGCGCAATGTTTTTGGGTGCTTTTATTTCTATTTCATTTAGTTTTTTATAATTCCCGGGATAATTTGATTGCGTTTTTAATAAGACAATTGTAGAATATGAGATGATTATAGCCAACTCGGCGCTAGGCGCCTCATTGGCTATCTACCATCTCATATTCAACGCGCGCTCGTGGAATAATTGTCAGCAGGAGCCATAATCGGGGACGGAGATCGTAAGCGCGCGCTATTTCTAGTATTGGGGCTGTCCCTATGATATGGGACAATTTTTCTATTTTTAGAACAAATTGCACCATCATGTGCGGCACACGCGCATACATGCTGCGTGGATTTTTGCGGATATAGCGCGGGGAAATGGCGTCCAAATTCCCGAAATGTTCGATGCTTTTGGCCCACAAATCAATACGTTCATGTCTGTTGGAATTTTGCTTCAGTATTTTCGTCGTAAGCTGCTCCAGTTAGAGTGAAGTAAGACAGTGCCGAATTTAGTTATGTCCCGCTTTATATCGCTGACCAAGTTGTGTTCCGCTGCTTCTTTTACAAGAGCTCCACATTACTCC